AGCTCTATCCAAACTTGCGCGGCCCCGCCCTGGGCTGCCGCGTGCGTGCCCATAACGCGCGTTATTTGCAGTCGTTCTCAAAGGCGTGCCCGCTTGCCCCCTCATGGTACGTAGCGGTCCGGCCCGACCTTGCGTGACGCATACCTGCACGGCGGCGGCGCGCCGGGGGGTTGGGCTGGGCCCTACCGCGCGCCTTTTACGACCCTTACGGGCCGCACTTATATACTCTACTCGGGTGAGCGACCCGTCCCCGTGTCTCGTGCATGGAAACTAGTTGTTATTTATCATTACGAAAATCATAAATGGTTTTCGTGCCGCCGCGCCGTCGTCGTCGGTCGTCGTCACTTTTTGTTCAGGCGCCTTGTCCCGCTCGCACCTTTCGGCCTGCGTTCCTTGCAGCCACGCTTGGGTTTGGGGCGTGATGTGTGGACTCGATCGCGCTGCCGCAACTTGGGCAGCCTGCTGCCACGCCCGAGCTTAATCACACCTGCCCACCTAGTTGGACGCGCGCCTTCGCTTCCCGCCTGGAGCCTGCAGCCCGGCGCCTGCAGCCTGCAGTCCTGGAGCCGGGGCCTGCTTGAGACTTCAGGGTGCCCGGCGGCCCCGCGCGCTCGCGCGGCCGGCCGAGCCGGGTCGAGGGCCCGCGAGTGTCTCATACACACACTCATGCACATTCACGATGGTGTCCCAACGCCCCGGCGCTGGGTGATTGCAAGCGCAGCAAGCTCGTTTGCATTGCCTCCCCTCCCTCCCCTCTCTCTTTTCCGTCAGTCCATTGAGGTGTGATTCGCGAAGGCGTTACCCGCGTCTCCCCCCACACACACACACCAGTACTGTACACTCGTTTTAATTAAGCTAGCTGTAGTTTTCGTCGATATCGTAATATGTTTGATATCCGTAATAGTATGATTTAAACTGACGAGATACGACGCAGATCTTGGCGGCGCTTTCCCGGTTAAAGGAAAACTTCGCAGTGTCGATGTTATAGACTCGTGCGAATTTGTTCGCTTATAGTATACCCGCGGCGCCGTGCATGCGGGCAGGCAGTCCCCCCTTCTCCCCCAGCACTCGCCCTCGTTGCCTGCCACTCTTGCATTCGCTTCGCTTTTCTTGTTTTTGTCATGAAACTGGAGCGCAAGGAGCGATCGATCCTCCGGGGCGGGGGCGACGGTGCGGTGCGGCCCCCGCCAAACCCTTGAGTGGCGGCCCGGCCCGGCCCCGGCTGATCCGAGGGAAGTGCAGCAGCAGCTCTGAAATTTTGATCCACTTGGGAGTGGCGGATCCCCCGCTGGGCTCGGCTCGGGGGGCGAGAGGGGGTTGGTTGAGGTGGGCGTTGAGGGGGCGTCCACAAGCATCCAAACGGATTTGCGTTTTTGACGTGTGTGGGGGGGAGGGGGGGGGGGCTGGTCCAGAACCCCTACAACCCCCTTCTATCCACTTGCCTTGCTATGTCGAGTTACGTCACTTCTTCAATGAGCGCCGGCCCTAGTCCTCTTCAGTCAGCGACCTGCTACCGGTCTGCCACCGACCTGCCACCATTGGCATTAAAATTGGCTGGCGGTTCCACCAGCGATTCCAGCAGTAGTGTGTTTTCCCCGACTGAAACCTGCTTGGCGAGCATTCTTTTCTTAATGCCCATCAAAAATACCCAAAAGTTAACACGTTCAGTCTCACGTGACCGTGCGTATGGCCACAATAACCTGTGATTGCGACCCCCTTTTGGGTTCAACGTAGAGCCGAATTACCCTTTTGTAAGTACTGTCTGGATTTTTCCAGGACATGTTTTTGAGGATGTTTTGATTTTCTTGTGTGCCTCTTCCCGGGTTTTTTCCCCGATAAACAATGATGACTCCCAACATCACGTTGGCTGCTCCCCCTCTCTTAACTTCGCTTTACTTTTGACCGCGAACTTATCTCTAACTCTAGAGTGCCCTGAGATGACCCCCCCCCCCTCCCTTCCCGTTTCCTTCGGGGTGACGCGGTCGGCGGCGGTGTTGGTTTGGAGACACCTGCTAGAGTATTCAGTCCCCCCTCCTTTTCCCTGCTCCCCCTTCCTCCTTCCCACCTCTTCCCTAAGTCTTCCTCCCCCTCCTCGCGCCCATGCTACTCTCCTCCCGCGATACCGGTTTCCGCCCGGCTCTTCTTGACTCGGCTCAGTGCACGGAGGCGGCCCGGGCCCGCCCTTGATCTTGTGGTCCGGCCCCGCCTAGGGAGCCTGGAGGGGGGAGAGTCGCAGAGATCACGTGACATGCTTCGCTCTGATTGGTGCGGTTCCAACGTGTTTTGGCGGGGTGCAGCACAATGCCTCATACCTGCCGAGCTTGCACCGGAGTGTCCGGCCTGATCGTCTGCTAGCTCGGACTGCGCGTGCGTGCCACCCAGGTATGAGACATTTTACATAGCTCAAAAACGCGTTGGAACCCGCCGGGCCCTCGGTCACGTGATCTCTGCGACTCTCCCCCCTCCAGGCTCCCTAGG